GCGGTGGGCGTGGTTTCATTTACTTCGTGAACGGGCATGACACGGAAACATTGAAAATAACTTAAAATGGCTTTTTCTCTGTATTAGTATTCCAGAGCAATCGTCCAAACAGCGTCCCTAACTTCCAAATTTTATTGCGTATTGTCATAAACGGGATATTGCTGGAAAGGAAATTTTTTTCTCTATCTGTGAGTACCAAAAACTGATTTTACCAAAATCCCGCAGATAGCCTGGTACTAGGATACACTACTTTTCTCATCATGGTGTGGTGCGACATGAGAAAGAAACGACTAAGCTCCGGGTGGTTTACGATGCGTCTGCGCGCGACAAGGGACCCTCCTTAAATGATTGTTTACATGTTGGTCCCAAATTGCATAATTTGATGTTCAATATTCTAGTGCGATTTCGATGCTTTAATATTGCGTTAATTGCGGATATTGAAAAGGCGTTTTTAATGGTAGCAGTGTCCCCAGAGGATCAGGATGTGCTCCGATTTCTCTAGGTAGAGGATATCGAGCAAGAACCCCCTGTGATTAGGGTTCTGAGATTTAAAAGGGTCGTTTTTGGAGTGACCTGTAGTCCCTATTTATTAAATGCCACCTTAAATGTGCACTTAGAGAAGTCAAAGACGCTGTTTAAGGAGGGTGGGTTTAATCTACGCAAATTTGTTACTAATTCTGAGAGTCTAAGAGTCAAGATTAAGGAGCATCAAAAGTCAAGTACTAGTACTAATGAACAAGACATGTCTGATACTGATACTACTTTGAGAAAGGATCAAAGTGACACAGAAAGAGAAAGGGAGCATAAGGTCTTGGGAGTGTTGTGGGATCCAATGAGGGATGAGATTATTGTAGGATTTGGAGAAATAGCCTTAGAAGCGCACTCTGTGAATCCAACCAAGAGATCTATTGTTAGCATTGTAGGGAAATTCTATGATCCCTTGGGTATCCTATCTCCAGTGATAATCAGATTCAAGATTTTGTTTCAAGAGCTTTGTAGAGAAAAGAGGGATTGGGATGAACCAATCACTGGACCCCTTCTGACTCGATGGCACATGTTGATTAATGATTTGAAAGCGAGTGAGTCTGTGAGAATCAAAAGATGCGTGAGTGAACAACAGGGAATGTGTGAATTGATTGGATTTTGTGATGCATCTATGGCTGCCTATGCAGCAGTAGTGTATCTTAAGGATGGTAATGGAGTGGTGAGAGTAATAGCTGCAAAAACGCGAGTAGCTCCACTCAAGACTCAATCAGTACCAAGATTGGAACTTCTGGCTGCCTTGTTATTGTCACGGTTAATAGAGAATGTGCTTGAGAGTGTGAGTATGGTGCTTGCGATATCACGTGTCACGTGTTACACTGACTCTCAGATTGTATGGCATTGGATCAGAGGAGAGGACAAGTCATGGAAACCTTTTGTCCAGAAGAGGGTGAAAGAAATTCGACAGCATACGTCTATACAATCTTGGAAACACTGCGCAGGCGCGAGCAATCCAGCTGATATCCCATCCAGAGGAATTGCAATAATGGAGTTGTCAGAAAGCAATGTCTGGTGGAATGGACCTGAGTGGTTGGGAGCAGAAGCAACAGATGAGACTGAAGTACCCATGCCTAAAAAATGCATGGAGGAATTGAGAGTTAAAGATTGCGAAACGAGTCACGGATTAACGGCGAATAGTGAACAAAGAGGGCTGATTAAGATCATTAGCATTGAACGATTCAGTAGTATTAAGAAATTGTTGCGCGTCACAGCTTATGTTTTTAGGTTTATCAATCGATTGAGAGGAGCGGAGTGTGGCAATATAATTACTGCCTCTGAGATGAACGATGCAGAAATGTTATGGATTAAAGAGATACAAGAATCAAGTCCAGAGATGAGAAAATGGAAAGAACAGTATGGAGCCTTTAAAGACCAGCAGGGAATCTGGAGATGTGGGGGCAGAATTGATAATGCAGAGGTGACATTTGAAGTAAAACACCCCATACTACTACCTAATCGGCATTACTTTACAAAACTAGTAGTAAAGAGGGCACATGAGAGACTAATGCATAGTGGGGTCAAAGAAACCCTTACTGAATTGAGAAGTAAATATTGGGTTCCAAGAGGGAGATCATTGGTTAGACTATTTATTCATTATTGTGTATTGTGTAGAAAGTTTAGAGCATTGCCTTACAAGGCCCCATTACCACCTCCTCTCCCAGATTTCAGAGTAAAAGAATGTCAACCTTTTATGTTTACAGGAGTTGACTATGCAGGGCCTTTACACTTAAGGGAGGGTAAAAGCACTCAAAAGGTTTGGATATGTCTGTTTACCTGTGCTGTAATAAGAGCAGTACATTTAGATGTAGTGCCTAATTTGTCCTCTAAGTCTTTTGTTAGGTGTTTTAAAAGGTTTTCAGCCAGACGTGGTCTCCCAGAGAAGATCATCTCAGACAACGGTACTACATTTAAAGGAGCATCAAAAACAGTACAAAGAATAATGAAGGAACAGGAAGTGCGAGAATACCTCACTGATAAAGGAATTGCCTGGACATTTAACATAGAAAAGGCCCCTTGGTGGGGAGGATTCTTTGAAAGAATGATTCAAATGATGAAACGTTGTGTCAGGAAGATTATTGGTCGTGCAGTTCTAACTTACGAAGAATTATTGACCGTTATTGCAGAGGTAGAGCTGATTATTAATTCTAGACCACTTACCTACCTGACAGCATCTGATACAGAAGAGCCATTAACTCCATCCCACTTACTGACTGGACGTAGGATAATGAGCTTGCCAGATCATCTGTCATATCATTCGGATGAGAGTTATGAGCTTAATCCTGACCCCATTTTACTCAATAAGCATATGAAGTTCTTGAATACTACCGTGAACAGATTCTGGAGTAGATGGAAGAAGGAGTATCTTCTGGAGTTAAGGGAAATTCACAAGAATACAAGGGCAAGAAAGATCACTCCAATCTCAGAAGGAGACATAGTTATTGTCCATTCTGAAGACTTACCACGAGCTTTCTGGAGATTGGGAAAAATTGAGAAACTCTTCAGTGGTAGGGATGGAAATATCCGAGGAGCGTCGGTACGTGTGCATGGAAGGGATGGATCGACCTTACTAAGACGCCCTATACAGTTGTTATATCCACTGGAGATTGTTCACAGGTCAAACTCACAAAGTACAGAAATCCTACCGAGTCCATCACCTACACAACCAGAGCATGCAGAGTTGGGAGAAACGAGACCACAACGATCAGGAGCAAGAGATGCACGAGCCAGAATTGTTGCTCAAACATTGAATGATTAAAACTGCAAGTTTTGTCTTATTAATGATATGTATTGTTTTTGGTTTGGTCTAATTTCTTTTGTTTCTTATTAGTTGTAAGCTTATTATTATTAGTGTGTTTTGGACAGTTTACTCTCCAACATGGGGGTGTGTGTGGAGAATTGATTTATTAATTATTCATTATTGTTATTATTATTATTATTCAT